GAGAAACCACAATAGAACTGAGCATTTTCGTCCCACACTGCCCTTGAAACTGCAGAAAGGGAATAGAATGCTGTAGTTGAGAGTATCAAATTTAGAGACAACTTTCCTAGGTTCAAATCTTAGCTTGACCCCCTTATCTTGTAACCTTGGGAAAATTACTTATTGTCTCTGTGTCTCAGATTCCTCATCTGTAAAATGAGGATTATGATAACACTAAGATATAACACTTATATCTTAGGGCCTTTGGGCGGATTAAGTAAAATAGATACGCAGAGCACTCAGAACAGTGCATACAACATAAGAGGTGCTGTGCCAGCTCTGCCTAATATTAGTTTTACTAATACTGGAAAATAAAATTATTACAAGAAAGAATTTAAAATACTTAGTGATTTAGTAATAAGGAAGGTAAGATGTAAAATTTTGGTTATCAGATGTAAAATTTAAAGATGTGTGCCAACTAGAATAAAATAAGCAGAACATATTTTCTTGACTATTCTTATAATTTGTTACTAATAAGATTATATTATAATGTAATTGTTCAATATATGATACTTTTAATTCTGATTCTCTAATTATTTTATTTTTTCAGGACAAAATATTAATCACCTAAAGAAAATTTTTAATTGGAAACATAAAAATCATAAATCTATAAAGAATAAAATAAGAAAACATCTAGAAACAATGATTCATGGGTTTTTTTTTTAATGAGGACAAGAATAAGCAGAATCTACCGTGTCCATGCAAAACAGCATTTTAAAATTGAAATTATCCGTCTATAGAGGTCTACAAATATTTCCTTCAAAGTCCTTTTTAACTAACATATTTTAATATATTCTTATAAATATATAAGCAACAGAAACATACTTAATAAAAATGCATGTTCTCCAAACATTAGCATCACTTAAAAACCAAACATATTTCAGTTGGAAACTATATGAACTCCATATATACACTTATAAAATATTCAACTTTCTAAAGTAAAACAGGAAAATAATGTTATGATAACTTACATATCATATCTATCAGTGAGAAGAGAAGAGAAAAATATTAAACTTGTCATTCAAGCTAAATTAACACTTTGGATGTTTTAGGGCATATTATTTTTACCCCCCAAATGGAATTAAGACACACAACTTGCATTAATTTTTTAGTCACAATAAAATCAGCATAAATTAACACTTGAAGAGTGAAAACAAAAGGGAAAGTTTTAAGCACATCTAAAAATATTAGATTATGTTACTTGGTTTTATTTTTCTCCAAAGTTCCAAAACAAAGAGCAAGAAATAAAAGAAGCTAAGAGTGGTTTATGTCATATACTAGCTTCATTTTATTTTATAATTTAGATACCAGTAAAGACATGATTTAGCCTAATGCATTGCTTGTGTGACCACAAATAAATTTATTTCAGGACTGTACTTTATAAGAGTCGAAGTTTAAAGTTAATTACAAATTGGAACAGGGAGACTCAGTTTAAGCAATAACAATAAAGAAATTGTAAAATCTATTACTTATCCAGTAGTAAGAATGAGATCATTTGCTCTTTATTTAACATTTTTGCAAAAGTATTTAACTTATTTCTTTTTTATCAAAGTAGCTCTGAATTTAGATGTCTAAGAAAAGAAGGGAATAATATGAGAAGACTATTATTTATGAACCCCATTATTTATTCTGTTTCTAAAGGCTGCAAGTGGCTAACTGGAGCATTTTTTTCCTCTTGAAACAAAACATTTGTTTCCCTTGACTCCGCCATGCTTTTCCCATGTGTAACTAGTCTATAGGGCTAAAACTGAGGGCCAGGAAACACCTGTGTACATTTTAGCTTCCAGGAGAACATATTGCTAACCATATTTTGTCATGCTTAGGACAAGAAATTAGGGGGAACTATATAAAACTCCCCATTCTTTCAACAAAGCAATAGAGGAAAGCCTGACTTTCAGCCATAGGTTTCTAGAGGAACTGACTTCTCAGGAGAGCCAAATTTCTTTCAAATGAATGTGAAATAAATTATGGCAATACACAAAACTGCATTAATTCTTATTTTTCAAGCATTCCAACTTGTTTTGTTTTTTACTTAGATCAAGATCACTTTTTAAAAAAGCAGAAGTACTCTAAAATGACTCAACCTTTATATTGGGGCCTTAAAAAGCATACTGTACATGGTGTCTAATAAAATTTGGAAACAGAAGGCTAAATAACAATTTTTGCTTACATAACATTGGGTTTAACCCAATTCTAACAAATTTGTTTACAAGTTTGATAAGTAAATAATTGTGTTCATCTATTTAATAGATTGCAGAGCAAATGGAAAATACTTATTTCCACTGATGCGATGAAACCTTCAATGGGACATAAGGAGGATGAATACACAAGGGAGAATTTTTGTTAATTTTAAGGCACATTTAAAACATAGGGAGGCAAGTTATTTAAATTATGAGCTGCTTGACCTTAACTTTAACTGTTATCCTCATTTGTCTGTAATGTGCCATTACTATTCAATAGTTATTTTTTTAATAACACAGGTCCTGTGTTAAATGTACATTCCTGATCCAGGGACAGAGCTAAAAGAATAATTAGTATAAACTAGTAGTATTTTCCCTCAGCTTTATTAAAATAGCATTGGCAAATAAAATTGCATATAAAGTGTACAATGTGATGATTTGGTATGCATATACATTGTAAAATGATTACCACAATCAAGTTAATACATCCATCACCCCATAGTTATCTTGTGTGTGTGTGTGTGTGTGTGTGTGTTGAAAACACTTAAGACTTAGTTTCAGCAATTTTCAAGCATACAATACAGTATTATTACCTACAATCAATATTCTGTACACTAGTGGCATTTTCAAGGGGGCTGGGAAGCCTAAAATCCACATTGTTAATGGAGAAATATTGAGCTAGAAGTAATCTGTTGGGACATTTCATATAAAGTTAATCAAGAGAAAGTGTTAAAATGATTCCTTTTAAGAAAAGGAAACCAAAGCAAAGATCGAAAAAATATTTCATACAATTTTATTAAACTGTCTTCTATCTCATTAAAACGTTCAGACCTTTTGTGAAAAACAATGAACTTGGTTCTTAAATTAAGATATCAGTTATGTTTACAGAACAATGATTTTTATGCCTAGACCCTCTTAGATTATTACTGTTCATAATAATATGAAAAAGATTGTGCCTCTCTTAAGCATACCTTTCATACCGCTTAAATAGGCCTCGTTCATTTGTATTAGATAAGCATTTGACATTCAGCTTTTATACTCACTAAGTGTAAAGGAATGTTCCTTTAAAAGCTTAGACAGTATTTCTTCTCAATGTTCTCATATAACTCTTTCAAACATGGAGGAGGAACTAGAATAACTTTTTTAAATAAACAGATTCTTTCTTGCCTACTTAAAATTGCAGTAAAACAATCATGCTTTCTTTTATTAGCTGTAGACCACATTGGGTAATTGTAACACAAAGAATGGACTTTCAAATTTCTTGAATCGATCAGGGGTTTTGTACAAGATCATGAAAGTTGTCTCTGCACACATTACACATTAATGGAAACAAAGAATGGAGGCAATTTCAGTATGATGTGGAGTCTATAGGTTCTGAAATACTCCTTTTCTGTGAACTTTTACTAAACCAGTGGAACCTATTAGCCCAAAGTATTTAGCATGAACCTAAATCATTATTACTTGAGATATGGAGAGGATATAAGAAACAGGAACTTAAAAAGATGATCTTCATGGCTGTATTCAGTATCCAGATGTAAAAATCTCAGGACCCACACAAAGGCCACAAGGCGGCAAAAAAATGTCGTTGTTAACTATTCACCTCCTCCAAGCAGGCCTCTTTCAGCAGACATTATTTTAAAAAACCTGGGTTCTGAGAAAATAAAATTTCGCTTTTCAGAAAAATACAAATACTGAGCAGTACATCATTCGTTGTTTGCAAAAATTTTGCAGATGTTTAGAAACTTCTTATTTATTTACTCAATTGCTGGCAAGCTATCATAGTAATCCTCAAAAACTAAAGTTGTACTTAACCACAGCCCACAGCTAATGCTTTAAGAATTGAGACCAGGCTTTATTTTGGCAACCCCTAAGCTGATTCATTCATGCTGCTGAAATTTCAATACCTTATATATAATTAGGAAACAGTCTAAAATTTTGGTTGAAGCAAATTTTTGACCATTTCAAGCCACAAGTACACATGGTCATGATTCATATTTTTCCCTATTATTTTTACTGATTTCTTGCCAATATTTGTTTGAAAAAAAAAGTATTTATTTATTTATTTATTTTATTTATTTATTGTAATTTGGAAGCCTCTTTACATCCATATGGGCTATCCAATACATTATGTCTTACCATGTTGACCAACTAAAGCCAAACAGAGCTAACAATGATAGTCAATATATACAATAAGCTTTGTTAAAGTTTTCCCAGGAATCTGGAAGAGTGTTATGCTGCCTAGAGTAGCTGAGTTTTCCCATGAATTTCTCAACTGGGTTAATAAAATCCAGAAAGTCCTCAAAACTAATGACAAAATTATCTTTATAGTTCAATGCTCCCATCTACTCTTAAAGCAAAGAGTGACAATTGGGTAGAAAGGCTTGTTTTCAACTGCACGGTTAATAAATAAATATTTAAATGTTTGTGTGATTTCCGTAGGTGTTAAATTCTTACCCTAATGAAATAAAACACTCGCTGGCCTTAAGGAAAATTTACTATTGTGTGCCAATGTGATGTTAATAAACGGATTTGATATTTTAAACAATCTTTTACTGCTTAGCATATTATATAGGGAAAATATGACATTCTTGGTACTTCGTGGATTTTTTTTTGCATAAGTATGCTCATAAGAACATATTCACAAATTAGTTTAATTAAAGGATGAAATTATTTGTTTCAAACTATCTCCACTTTGCCTATTGGAAATAGTCACGACAGCATAACAAAAATCACATTTCAGCAAAACATAAGAAATATCACACCATCTTACTTATTTTGCAGTTATTGATGGAAGATGCTCCCATCTCGGTCAGTCCTATGCGGATAGAGATGTCTGGAAGCCCGAACCGTGCCAAATATGTGTCTGTGACTCAGGTTCTGTTCTCTGCGATGACATAATATGTGACGACCAAGAATTAGACTGTCCCAACCCAGAGATCCCGTTTGGAGAATGTTGCGCAGTTTGCCCACAGCCTCCAACAGCTGTGAGTTTAAAGGAAATCTGTGTATCTTCAAGATTTATATTTAGATTCATAAATAGTACCTATATCATATGAGCCTGAAAGGAAATGAAAGCAGTATCTGTCAAACAATCATGTTTGTATTACATGTAAAAAGTCAACGCTCCAGTTTAAAACCAGGGACTAGATGTGATTTAGGATAAGAAATAATTATGAAAATTGGGATGTGCTTTACGAGAAAGTTGTTCCTATGTCTTTTTTAATCTGTATCTTTTTCATTTATTAGCCTACACGCCCTCCTAATGGTCAGGGACCTCAAGGCCCCAAGGGAGATCCAGTAAGTAGACATTCTTCATGGAATAAAATTAGTTCATTGGATAGTTTTTGTTTATTTGTTTGTTTTCTAAGAGCCTATCCATATTCAAACTTTCATCATTCATACATTTCCTTTAGTAGCACATATTTGAATAATGATACAATGTAACTCAAACTGAGTATCCATAATTATACATGTAAAGATTTAAGTTTCCTAGACTTTATATGATGTCTTCATGCCCATTATTAGTTTGAAAATTAAAGTATAAGTCAAAATACAAAAGGACAAATGACACTAAAATTATTCACATGATTTGGTTAAAAGCATATATATTCCCAAGAAAATCTATTACTTATATTGATTCCTCACATCATAAAGCAGAGAAGATACAATTTGATAATGATTCTGAGTCACTAGGACTTTTCATTGTTTTATTAATTTTTTTCTATGATTTTATTATTTATTTATTTATTTGTTTGTTTATTTATTTATTTTTTAGGGCCCTCCTGGTATTCCTGGGAGAAATGGTGATCCTGGTATTCCAGGACAACCAGGTTCCCCTGGTTCTCCCGGCCTCCCTGGAATCTGTGAATCATGCCCGACTGGTAATCAGGTAATAAGTCCCAGGATAAACAGGTCTCCCCCCACTTTAAAACTATCTACTTCATTTCCTTTTCTTCTCACGTTTGTGGGTTTCTTATGTCTTTTCTCTGATTTTATATATTTTACAAATTCTTATTTAGTGCTTATAAGTGCTAGGCATTATTCTAAGTGCTTTATAAATATTTATTTTTCCTCATAATGCTAATGCTTTGCAACTATATTTTTGCAAAATTTCCCAAATTCGTAGCAGGCATGTTGATAAGTGAACCATCAATTCCCAAACAATTAACAGAGAACTTAAGAATTGCTGCAACTGTGCCTTGTTCTTCTTATAACCCCAATGGTGAAGCCTTTGAAAGTTTGAACAAAATGTAGTTGAAGAGCTGTGAACTGAATACTCCTTATAGACTTCAAGTCAACAGGATGGTTCAAGCCTCTGCTACTGCTCTTGCCAAGTCTTCAGAGCACAAGCCTTCAGAACCTGCTCCTCTTGAAAAGCATGGCAACCAACTAACTCTGCATGTAAAAAACAATAACCAAGCAAATAAACAAAACACAATTTGGAGTTAGGAGAAAACACACACACACATATACAAAGCACTATGAGTTTCAAACAATGATTTTCAAATGGCAAATCAACAGGAAGCAAAAGACATATCTAACTTATTCTTATCCTGGTGCCAAACAGAACCCATTGCTAGGCCTACAATTCAAAAACTATAATAATCTTCAAAGAAATCCAATAAACACGTGAACCTTTCTACTATTCTTGTTCTTAGTTTCTATGAGGATATTTATTTTTTGATGAATCTGTTTGGCATACTAATCAGAAGCCAGGAGATAATAAATTTTACTTGTATTATTAACTGTTGGGAAACTAATTTGACTTCTTCATCTTTGTTTGCCCAAAATGAGAATGTCAGATTATATGCTGTTAAGGCTCTTTCAGCCTCAAACAGTATATTTCTAGTGCTGTTAACATCGCTTAGAAATAATATTTTGGGTAAGAGCATATAGGAACAAATTGTTTGAGATTAACATTGCATACAGTTAGTTGAATGATTTGTGCATTGCATGAGCTAGTACTTCTGTATGAGGTTTAAATCTACAGAGAGACAAGATAAGCAAGATAATTAAATAATACATACTGCATTCTCTGGCATGCAGAAAGTTTCTGTCAGTAGATATTGTAGTAGATATAGTACAAATTGTAGATATTATTGTATCTACTATTGTAGATACAATAGTAGATATTGCATGCACTTCTTCTAAATGCTTTTGAAAAGAACTATGATCTATATATCAAAATGATCATATCTACCTGGTCTTTTTGCTGCAGAACTATTCTCCCCAGTTTGAGTCATACGATGTGAAGGCTGGAGGAGCAGGAGGAGGACTCCCAGGCTACCCCGGGCCACCTGTATGTACAAGTGTTTCTCGGCATTTTTTAACATTATTTAGCCTTCCAGTTTGTTAAATCTTGCGTGGGCATTATTATTATTGAATATTATTAAAGAATTGTCCAGAATAGCTTATTCTCAATTAAGGCTGGGAAAGAAAAAGGTAGGATTATCAAGGTCCTCCTATCCTAACTCATTTATCCCTCACTGCCTCTCATTTCACACGTGTTTTGCCACCCATTTCTATCTTTTACAGCCACCTATACCAGGAGCCCACCTGCCTTCATGCTTAGGTCTCACACTTATATATTCCCTAATTTTAACCAAATGTTATTTTTCACTTCCACTTTTTCTCTTTCTTACCTGTTGTTCATAATCTTCTTTTAATGTCTTTTCATTAATTAAATGCTACTTTCTAGATGACATTTTGAGTGATGAATGTCCAATATCACAATCTATCGCACCTCAAATTCTGGAATCAAATACAGTTATTTCCAGAATTCATCAAATCTACTGTAAATGATAGTTTTTCACATTGTACCCAAAGGGTTTCCTCTCAATGTAAATGACCTAGAGTTTTTATAGAAAAAAATAGCAAAGAACATTGAAACCTGGGCACAGCACATGCACATGCTACATGGTGTCCCATGTGAATGACCCTTGTAGACAGTCTCTCAGGAGGAGCAACACTAGGGAAGTTTATCATTTCACTGCCAGTAAAAGGTACGTAAATATAAATGAAACAATGCTGGATTCTCGGAGATTATGAAGGTTGCTGCCCAGATCACTGGACCCCATATTTGTGACTTCTAAAACTGAAAAGGACAAAATTTTAACTAATAGATCCAAATAAGGAGGTAAAGAAAGACCCTTAAAATTGGTATAAAGTAAATTGTAAAAGGAGAATTTTACATATCTCTAAAGTTTTAGAGGCTGTGATTTTTTGTATCTTTCAAAGCTAGAAGGAGAACTAAGTAAGTAAGCATCTGGCTTTACTTAGCTATATTCACATTATGATTCTATTTTTCAATCAGGTACACAGTTTTTACTACAAAAAAAGAAAAACAAAAACTAAACTAAAAAGTCACTACTGATTAACATTACAGGAAAGAAGTTACAAGAAAAAATTTAATTAAAACTGTAGCTTTATAAATTTATTAAGTCTTTAGAACTAGCAGATTACAAAACTGAAAGTTTTCTAGTTTAATCTATAGCTGAAAAATGATAAATCAGTTGGTTATAATTGTAATTTATCACTGCCTACCGTCCCATATATTGATGATTCTTGTATGCACATCTAAATCTTCATGTCAATATAACTCAGTGATGTAGTTAAGAACTTCTGGGCTGATTTGCACTGTTAATTTTAGAAACTGAAATGTATAGTAGTCAGATCAATATTTTTCTACAATGAATTGGGCTGCCAGGCAAAACTGCTTCATTATCAGTACCAGTATCCTAATATTGAAGGGATTCTCACATAGTATTTTGCATGAATCTTTCCAGATTTGAATTCCTTTTTGGGAGGGGGGTTCAGTCCAACATTTTATAATATTTACCAATAACTTTTATTGATTATGGGGGAATTTCATTTAGAATGACATTTTTGTAATATCGTCACTGTAGATCTAATAAAATTAATCATACTCATGAACAGTTATTACATAATGAGGTAGGTTGCTCACATTTTTAAAGATGTCAATATCAGTCCTAAACAGAGGCATCTCTTTGATGCCTGAATAAAGTGTATTTTGGATGCATTTATTTTGTATTTATCCTTTAAATTTACATTCCAGGGTCCCCCAGGCCCTCCCGGTCCCGCTGGTTCATCTGGTCATCCTGGCTCCCCTGTAAGTATGGCCATTAGTGGTGCTTCCTTCTTCATGCATATTATTTAAATCAAGTTAATGCAGATACTGCTGTAATTTAGCTATTCCAGGATGCATAATCCTAATTAAGTAGAGAAGTCACAACCAAGAAATTATTATTGCTTCAAAGATGTTGGAATTTCATATTTAAGTCCTCTGTACCAACAACTATTAGTAATTAAAACTTCAGTAAAATTAAACCACATGTTAAATTTGCATGTAATATTCAAGTTTGAAACAATTCAGTTTCAATGGAATGAAGTGGATGTAATGGAATAAATTAATTTTATTCTAATCTGAAATATTTTGGCTAAATCTTTATAAACTGGAATAAAATTTGCTGACTACATTTAAAAATCCTGATTTCATATTATCTTCAAAGTGTAAATGAATCATATGAAGATTAAGTTACTTTAAAAATATTTGCATGTTATTCTACCCACTAGGGTTCTCCAGGATACCAAGGTCCCCCTGGTGAACCTGGGCAAGCTGGTCCTGCAGTAAGTAACAATTATATCTATATTAGAAAATGCTTTATAGAGACCACCTCCGTTTTCTAAAATATATTCATAGGCCCCTACTAAATAAAGATTAAATTTATGCTCACATTTTAAAGTAATAAATGATATTTTTATGATAGATCAACTTGTTTCAATGATCATTTGGACACTTTTAATGGTTTAAGTATCTAAGAGACATTGGCTATTTAATCAAGGGATTCCCTGGCTAATTAGCCATCACAAGTCTACTCCTTATTGTGGATACAAATTTTCTATCTCTTAAATATAAATTTAATATTCCTGTAGCCACTCAGTTCACCTTCATAGCTACTGTTCTGTTATATAATTTTTAAAACTTAATTTAGTAGAAATAAACATAATCTAACAGAATTCCCCAGAAAACATGCTATGTACATAAGCAAGTGTGTAAATAAGCAAGGTGAAGTTCTTTTAATATTTCAAAATATTTAGAAATACCTATATACTTAAAACTTTAATATCTCAAAAATGTTAAAGTGCATTTTAGTTTATAAATACACACATGTGATATAAAACATAGGTGCATGGCATTTTTAATTTTCATTAAAAATAAGTTTAACAATGAAAACTGGATATAATATAGATATAACATTAACTCAATGTTTCATTTTCAGGATGAGAAATATTGAAATTCCTTCCAGGAATGCATATAATATACAATAATAAATTGACTATAAAAGAAAAATCTACAAATTTATTTGTTTTTTGTTTCCTTGTTTTCAGGGCCCTCCAGGACCTCCTGGTGCTATGGGTCCATCTGGTCCTGCTGGAAAAGATGTAAGCTTCTAAAGATTGAATGGGGATACAGCAAAATTCAACTTGGAATATTCTAAAGAGCATATACCATATGCAGAATTTCAGAGAGAAAAACCTTACTCAAAATTGTTAATATCTTAATGACATTTTAGCTCATTTAATATTTGAATATCTATATAGTATTTGCATAACTGTTTATTAAATTCCAAACTAGCAGAACCCCCAAATGGTTCTGGAAGACACTGGAAGACACATCCAGTGACTATGTCACATGACTAAAGAAGAAATAAGTTTATTTTCTCTGCCTCTTGATACCTGTACTTTATGAATTTCAAAACTTATAAATGCCTTTAACATTATTCTTCCTTTCCCATTTAATTTCCAATCATAAATCATCTCATTGGATTGAGAGATGGTTATAATATTTCATTAATGAGGAATGCCTGCATTATTCATAAGTTTACATTGATGTGAGAGAAACCCCCCTCATTCCTTCTATTAAGAAAGCTGATCTCACAATTGTGTATTGCTCAACCATTTTCATGAGTCTCTGGTGAGAAAAATGGAAATTAGTCAGCTCACTAATTGGCTGCATGTATTTTCTCCACCTATGTATAAACACCTATGTATTGTTTATTTCTCCACCTAGGGGGAATCAGGTAGACCTGGACGAACTGGGGAGCGAGGATTGCCTGGACCTCCAGTAAGTCTTCAGGACCCACAGAATTAATTAGAGTAATCACAATGACCTTAGCTTGAAAATTATTATATAGTTAAATTGAACTAAACTTAAAAAGAGAAGGCATTTTACTACTGGATTGTGATTCTATTTGAAGGTTCATTAAAATCTTTTTTATTCATTATTTTTAGGGTATGAAAGGTCCCGCTGGCATGCCAGGATTCCCTGGTATGAAAGGACACAGAGTAAGTGGAGTTTCTAAATTGACTATAAGCTGTCCCATTAGACCAATATTATTAGACAATTGAGTATGTGCCCAAAATGGTTGATTCTAACAACTAGTTTATTGGATTGTTTTGTCTATCAACAATATTTGTCAGTCAAACTAGTTATTTTATGAAAAGTAATAAGGTGATTTTAAATGTATAAAAAGGCTTGAGAAAGAATAATTTGATTTTGTTATCACCACAGTCAGAAGAAACATGAAAAGATGTTATTGAAAACTATGTGTTATTCATAGACTTAGTTAATATGACTTATAGATCAAATTGAGCAACTGTATTCTATGTAAAATATTAGGTGGGTTCAACCAACTGATCCCCAAATCTATCAACATAATAGAGATAAAATCTGTGAAACTGATATGTTTGCTATTCTGAGTTAAAGTCACTTCCTAATTGGGCTAAATTATACTTTCTAATTAGTTCAGAAATTTTACTATAAAATCAATGTCAAATGTCTCCAATCAATTTACAGTTTTAAATTATTAAGTCAATGTTGAAAATACTGCTATGTGGAACAGCTATTTATAAAAATTCAATGTAAAGTTTTCAGCCATTCTATATTATTAACAGATTTTACTATTTTTATTATTTTTATGTATTTCATAGGGCTTTGATGGACGAAATGGAGAAAAGGGTGAAACAGGTGCTCCTGGATTAAAGGTGAATCACAACAAAATCATATTTTCATAAGTAAATTTATTTCATTGTTATAGTTATATTTAAGATTTACATTTTGATGTTTAACTTTCCTTGAAATTTACCTGAATTTACATTTTAGGAGCTGACTAATAGTGAATAATTGAAATGTTCTATTAAAGCTTCCATGAAAGCTGATAACTTGAACTGTCTAGATTAGAAATGATTAAGCATCCCTGAGTAACTCATTGATTACTTTTGTTTAGTCTTCACATTTTTTTTAATATACAGAAAATTTTAAAATACAGAAAATGAGATTTCTGGTAAGAAAAATGCTAACAAAAATCTGATACTGTTAAAATTTTCCTTGGATTCCATAATATTTTTCATAATATACCATGTTTAAAAAATAAAAATTTTCTTTTTGTTATACAAAATGGTAACACATTTAATGTTTCTAGGGTGAAAACGGCCTTCCAGGTGAAAATGGAGCTCCTGGACCCATGGTAATTATGTTTCATATTATATAATTTTCAGTTTTACTATTAATCTCTATCTAATTCCAAACTTGCCTTGCTCTCTCAACAACTGTTCTTATACATGTCCAGTTTAAAGCAGAACCATACTTTTCATTTAATTCTGTAGGGTCCAAGAGGCTCTCCTGGAGAGAGAGGACGGCCAGGGCTTCCTGGAGCCGCAGTGAGTATTGTTACCGACATAACACAATCACAGCCCCAAGTGACAGATAAGTGTCTCAGCCAGGTTTCCAGGCTGTGACAATCTACAGGAAACTTTCTTTTCTGTAAAATTGCAATTGAAGTCACCACCATAAAATGTTATCCACAATTATAAGGAAACACATAAGTGATTTATGTCATTATCCTTACTGAGCGTATTTTTTGTGTTAACTTTGCATGTGTTATCAGAGCCATTATTCACACCAGTTTGTAAAATACAGGATCCAATCCTTTTACATTAGATCATTGCCATATATATATATATATACATAAATGAACTTTAACAATTTGACTTTAAAATATATACATAATTAGTAAGTAGATTTTAATATACCTAAGGAAAAGTCAACTCAAGTCAGAATTTTAGTCAAAATATCACTTGTCACCAGAGTTTCAGAATTAAGATATTTAAGACAAACTTCTATTTGTAGGGGTCTCGAGGTAATGATGGTGCTCGAGGAAGTGATGGACAACCGGTAAGTAACATTTTATCCAACCTTGATTTGCTTCAGGGTAGTGAGAGATTATGGATTGTTGAGTGTTGGAAAAATATAGATTATAGCCCCCAAACTCAACATTGTTCATAAACATTTCATTCAAACTGATACTGAACCCATAAATAAAATCTAGAAACAGTTAATCTAGAAACACTAAACCCATAAACAAAATGCTGATACTCTTTATTATACTTGGCCAATTGCTAACATCTGTATGGTGCTTACAATGTTAGCTGATATCCAGTATTGGATATGACAATTAAGAAACCTACAAAATACATAATAATGCTATTTCTACTTTATAAATGATGGCTCAGGCCAAGTAACCTGCACAAAGTCCACAGAATCTGTGGCAGAAGTCGAGGGCAGGAGCAGATCCAAATTTTCTAACTTTAGATTTTACACTCTTTTTTTTTTACCACATTCTCTCTCCATGTAATATTCATTAATGAATGATGAATACTATTTTATCTGCGTAATTGTCTTCTGTATTGTGTATGTGCTCACATATTACTACTAGTAGTGTTTTGTTGGTTTGATTAAGAGCTCTTGAAATGGTATTTAATTTGTTTTCAGGGCCCGCCTGGTCCCCCTGGAACTGCAGGGTTCCCTGGTTCCCCTGGTGCTAAGGTAAACATGTATTTATTTCAACAGAAGAATATAAACTATATTTTGGGGTCAACAGAAATCATTGGATTGCTTCTTGAAAATGACTTTTTTTTTTTACCAGTCAAGTGGATATCTTATATCTGTAGAAATCTTTAAAAGCCCTATTTTTTAAATTAAATTTATTGTGGTAACATTGGTTAATAACATTATATAAGTTTCAGGTGCCCAACATTGTAATATGACATCTGCATACTCTATTGTGTGCTCACCACCCAAAGCCTCGTCTCCTTCCATCACCTTGTATTTGACCCCATTTACTCTCTTTGTTGATTCCAGAAGTGTGTTATATCTGGCATTCAACTATCCTGATATCTCGCCTGATGCCATTTCTCTTTTCCCAGTCACTTTCTGGGAAACAGATAACACAGTCACACACATAGTTACCATTTTTCTCTGCCATTATGATTAATGATTCTTTGCTTTAGATAGAGTATATAGCCATCCTACGCCAGCCTTTGATAGATGGGTTTAAATAGGACTGAAGAGTGAACTAGATAAGAGATGAGATGTGGCAAGGGAAACTGACTACTTGGTTTATCCCTTAGGGTGAAGTTGGACCTGCAGGATCTCCTGGTTCAAGTGGTTCCCCTGGACAAAGAGGAGAACCTGGACCTCAGGGACATGCTGGTGCTCAAGGTCCTCCTGTAAGTAGTTGATTATGGCCATTGAGAGGAAGAGTGTTGCTACACTTACTTCATGAAAGCATATGTTTTAATGCTGCTATTAAATTAAAATTATTTTTAAAAAAAATCTTGGCTTAGTGCTCTGCAATGAGTCTACTGTGACAAATACTGATTTAATTAGCACTGAAAGTTGTAGTTTTTGAGATTTGCATTCTTCTAGAATTTAGGAGTTTTATATTTGTATGACACAGAGTGAATTAGAAAATGAATAGTTTTCTGATACTTCAAAGAATGTGCTCCAAACTAAACACCAATCGGAAAAATTCAAAGAAGAGACAAGACCAAAACCTCTACCATGTATTAATTAGTTAGTAATTTAGAACAAATGCATATTATCTCTAATTTATTCAAATAATGGTAATTTTTGGCCTACATTTTATGTGTTGTGCTATAGTTGGAGGAATCATTCGATCTCCATAAAGCACAACATCCACCAATAAATTTATTTTGCAAATATATAAACACCTTATAATGTATACACACTATTTGTATTATTATTAATATGCTCTTTTCCCCCATCTAGGGTCCTCCTGGGATTAGTGGTAGTCCTGGCGGTAAAGGTGATATGGTAAGATTTTCCCACCCTGCACCCTAATCTCATCCACATATACATAATGGCTTCCTTTGAATTTTGCATGACAATACATTGGTGATGTTTAATTTAGCTATTCAGAAAAGTAAGTTAGGCTGATGCTAGTGTTCTTGGGTTGTTTTTAGGGTCCCGCTGGCATTCCTGGAGCTCCTGGGCTGTCAGGAGCCCGTGGTCCTCCAGGACCAGCTGGTACCAATGGTGCTCCTGGACAGCGCGGTGCTGCAGTAAGTTGCTTATTTTTCCTTTGTTGCCTGAAAAGTGAGGCTTCATTTTCACCACAAAAATATAAATAGCAAGCTTTTAACTCTTGTCCAGTTGAAATTATGTTGATTTCACTTGCGTTTTATAATTGAATGTTACTGGTGATAATTTCAGTAGTCTATGCTCCTTGCTCCTTGTTTTTAAGCCAAGCTTTTGGTTCATTTAGGGTGAACCCGGTAAGAATGGTGCCAAAGGAGAGCCAGGACCACGTGGTGAACGCGTAAGTATTACCCTATTGGGTGATTTAGTTATCTTTTAGAAAAATAGAACATCATTAGAAAGTAAACAGGTAAAACTTTTGTAACCTAATTCAGTCATTATTTCTTTATTGGCATCCTTCTTTAGGGTGAAGCTGGTTCTCCAGGTAATCCAGGTGCTAAGGGTGAAGATGGCAAAGATGGTTCGCCTGGAGAACCTGGTTCAAATGGAGCTCCAGGAGCTGCAGGAGAAAGGGTATGTTTTCCATGGGCATCTAAAAGAAAAATGTCACTGTCACCCACATAGAACTTCACCTTTAGGGTGAAGCAAACATGTTTGCCCAATCCCAAATATTGTTTTGAAGTATTTTACAACATGAGAATATGTCTATTGCCATTCAAGAATTAAGAAAAGTTTAAATGCTTTAGACTGAAATATTTGCCTGTCACAATTTCCAGGGTCAACCTGGAGGCCGAGGACCTCCTGGAGCTAGCGGCCTTCCGGGAGAAAAGGTAGAAAATTTCAATTTCTATTTTCTAGTACTGCAAATAAGTGTATTCTCCTTTACATTTGCTTATTAACTGAAACCGAAATATCTGAAACATATTGTTGTTAAAAAAAACAACTCCCAATATAAAACAATGATTCTAGCCCCTGCTCAGCCATTTTTTTAGCTTTGTAACTAAAGCAAGTCACTTAACCTCAGTCAGTCTTTTAACATATCTATCAATTGAGAATTATTTATCTCAGCCTCATTGCAATAATAAGATAAACTAAAATGCCTGAAAGTTCTTTGAAAACTTTAAAGTGCTATACAAATTTGATTTCATACCATCAAAGATATTTGACTGAAATGCACAGAAGTATATTGTTAAGCCCACTAATATTGCTTTTTTTTTAAGCTGAGCCAACCTGCCACCTGTTGGCAGCTCAGCGGCTGCTCAGCTCGGGCCGGGCATCAAACCGCTGTTGCTCAGAGCTCAAACTTTTAAGTGAGCTCTTAACCAACTGAGCCACTCGACTGGCCCTAAATATTGCTTTTTAAAACATGTGATGTTCATCAAATTTGCCTCAAAATATTTCCAGTATGACAATCCAAATAATAGGTAACAGTGATTTTATAACGAGGATGTCAGCAACACACCAACTCTCTTTAAGAGAACCGATGAAGTTCTGCAATTATAGCCTACATATTGTCCGTGTCTAGGTCAAAAAGGGCCCTTTAACAGATTTGTTGATTTCTTTTACCATGTAGGGTCCCGCTGGGGAGCGCGGTGGTCCAGGCCCCGCAGGGCCCAGAGGACCTGCTGGAGAAGCTGGCAGAGATGGCCTTCCTGGAGGTCCCGGAATGAGGGTAAAGGAAAACAGTCATTTACTAAGAAAATAAGCAAATAAAGAAAGGTTCATAGACACCTTAAATCAGACTACACCTTATATAAGCTCACAACAAAATAAAACAAAATTCTTCTAAGAAAATTTAAGCTAGTATATGTTGAATAAGCACAGAAAATAGAACACTCAACTAAGACTCTTTAGAGGCAGAAAAAAATGTGTGCAAATCTGAGATTACATATGTAAGTGGAAATCTCAAAATTTTACAGATAGATGTAGGTTTTATTTATTTAATTATTATTTTTAAATCATCTGACTGCCTTCTTCGATTTAGGGTGTGCCCGGAAGCCCCGGAGGAGCAGGCAGCGATGGAAAACCAGGGCCTCCCGTATGTACATTCTTACCATCTCATTTTACAAGTCCAGTGAATAATGGCATGCATGGTTGGGCCTCGCCTTGATGTACATTTTATAGCCTCGATATGTGTGTTGTTTATTTTGATCAGATTTTTATCAAACCTCTATTGTAATTTTTCTCATTAGGGAAGTCAAGGAGAAAGTGGTCGCCCAGGTCCTCCAGGCCCATCTGGTCCCCGGGGTCAGCCTGGTGTCATGGGTTTCCCTGGTCCTAAAGGAAATGATGTGAGTTCCTTTCTTCATTTCTTCAATAAATATTTGATAGAAGGCCTTTGACTTTCTATATGGAATTGCAGAGATGGCCAAAACTTGATCTGCAAAGCACAGAAAAACATATTAAAATCAAAATACCATGTGAGAAGGGAACTAATATATACTACACATATTTGGTAGAGTTCTGGGGAAGCAGTGGCAACGTTCATGGGAACCTAATTACAGAAAGTAGTTTTGGGTTGTGCATATATATATATATATATATATATATATATATATATGTATGTCTGTGTGAAGGAGGCGGATCAAAACTCTGAAGGAACAATATGATAAATGATTTCCTTTTGAGAATTAGTAAACACTGGTCATCTCTTTAGGGTGCTCCTGGCAAAAATGGAGAACGAGGTGGCCCTGGAGGTCCTGGCCCTCAGGTATGCAGCTTTCACCAACTTATTTCCAGCCTTATTATACAGACATTTATCTGCAACCCTATAACTTTCTCTCTGCATCTCTGTTGTTGTTGTTGTTATTGTTGTTGTTGTTTATTGTTGCTTGGTTGTTGTTTTCTTAGGGTCCTGCTGGAAAAGGTGGTGATCCTGGACCTGCGGGCCCCCCAGGACCTGCTGTAAGTTTACTCACATAAACTGGAGATGGAAGTGGGTGGGAGTGGGGTGAGGCAGAGGGAAGACTTCGAGAATTACATAATCTCTGACACTATATCAAAATAGCTTACGAAGCAGTTATGAAGCTTGCTTATTTAGTTAGCTAAATGCGGAGAGTGAGTACAGTTTACATCGTACACATCTCTCTTGCATAACTTCCACAGGCCAGACTTGGCCCTCTTTCACACTATTAATTTTTAAATTAAGCCATCAGCCTGCTGAAATGAAAACTGTGTGAACTAAATGTGAAAATCTTATAATGGTGAATCTCATTGCATTTTTCTACCTAGGGGCCAGGCGGTGAAAAAGGAGATGCTGGACCCCCTGGTCCACAAGGATTAGCAGTAAGAATTTATTATTTAAATAGTCATTGAACACCTGCTTTTACCAGACAATTAAGTACTTCCGTTTGATAGCTGTTTTTGTTAACAGTTCAATTTTTTTGTGATACTAATATGTAACAATTCATCTTAAGCTTAAAATTTGTGGGCCTGTCTTCTGCCTTGAAATAAAATGGCAGACAATGTGATTTGACAGGCATAACTTCTATATCTATTCCAGAATGAGTATTTTAATAATATTTTTAAAAGTTCACATAATTCTATGTTTATACTTATTTTCATTAGAATTTAAATTTATATACCTAAACCCATCTCACTATGGCCGTCAACTCATTTTCATAAACAGCAATGGAAAGAATAGAGGGATTCTCTATTATCACATGATTATCACATCTCTGTCTAGATTTTGAAAGCAGCAAATTTATTTACCTCTAAAAAGACCACTAAAGCCATTTTTTAAATACTTTGCAGAAACATACATATGAGAACCTTTTTTTTGCAATGTTTGAAGTGATTACACAATGTAAACATGTTTGCAATATTTGAAGTGATTACACAATACAAATATGATTCTTTATAGGGCATACCTGGAAACCCTGGTGGTCCAGGAGAAAATGGAAAACCTGGTGAAGCAGTAAGTTGCATGTCATGTTTTCAAAACTCAGAAACCAAAAGAATAAATTGTAATCATTTATTAATTATTAACTTTTGCATTCCTGCATGCCATCTTGTCTGAGTTTTAACATTTAGGTTTGAAATATTTGTTAACATAACAAAGAAAATTTACTCAATCATAACTGTTAGATACAAAACTCAAATTTTACCATAAAATAAAATGTATTAAAGAAAGAGTACATAGCTCGAGATTTGACAAATGTATGATATGAAAATAAGTCAAATATGTGTTTTGCTTGTATTTATATAACATGCATTCCGACATAGGTCTAATCATAGAATGTCAATCTTCTAGGGCCCAAAGGGCGAGCCTGGTTCACCTGGAACTCCAGGAGGCAAGGTGAATATTGCAATTTATTTCTAATTTCTTCAGCATGTCATAGAGCAATTGATTAGTGACACAGTTTAAGTATATTACACCAAAATAGTCTTTTTAAGAAACACAACATTGTAAATGTTTGGTGACTATACTTAGGGTAATTCAAGACATTTCAAATACATTAAATTTGCTTCATCTAGAAAATAAAGTTTGCTGACACTAATAAACACTACAGAATCAACTACAGCCCTCACATTTCAATAGAAAAATCTTTCCAGTGCCTTGACACTATATGGGAAAACTATTTTAGTAGAAGAACTTAAAAAATGTGCTCTAAAATAATAAGAATAGTTTCAAAGTTAGTTTACCAGGTCAGGTGTCAAAGTTTCCTTGTGTAGACTAACTCTTCTTTAAGTTTTCAGTTCCAATTCAGTTGATCAACTGTCTTTCATAACTATAAAAATTTCTGAATTGTTCAAAAACACAAATTAAGAATCTAGTGATCTGCATCAAAATAATACAATTTAGGGTGTTTTATGTTTATCTGTAGCATTGAGTTTTCTAACAAGGACATGACATTTTCCTATACCAGGGCGATGCTGGTGCCCCCGGTGAACGGGGACCTCCTGGTGCAGCAGGGACGCCAGGACCTAAAGGTGGACCTGGCTCCCCTGGTCCCGCTGGAGCAAAGGTAATGCCACATAATTCAATTCGCCTAGACTTTACAAAATGCTTTTCATTTCCTTCTTCGGACATACTCTTTCTTCTTTAATTTCAGGGCCCTGCCGGTCCCGCTGGACCAGCAGGTCCTCCTGGTGGTCCTGGTTTGCAAGGGATGCCTGGAGACAGGGGAGCTCCTGGACTTGCCGGCCCAAAGGGTGACAAGGTGCTGACTTATCTGTTGTTAATTATGTAACAAATCAGGCTTTTTAGGTAAAAGGAAAATGCTACTGCTGGAAAGCAATCTATTTGCAAAAATCAATGTTATCATTTCACAGTAAATAAGATGTTGATGTACTCTTCCTTGAGCAACTATAAATCAGAATGCCTCGTGTACATCACAGCAAGTCTTGAAGGTTGCTCCTCTTCTTGGGAGATTTTCATTGGGGATACTTCTAACCTGATGACATTGGCTTTTATTTGACAGGGTGAACCAGGACCTGCAGGTGTTGATGGTACTGCAGGAAAAGATGGTCCAAGGGTGAGTACTCGCTTTGGAGAGAAATAGGTCTTATCTGTATGTGATATCCAATAGTCCCTCACCTCCACATCTGTTTGTTCCCATAACCCCTCATAAAAAGTTAGACCATACTTTGCCACCTCCTAGTCATTAAGAACCCAAATGACCTGATAGTTAAAATTTCTGATTTATATCTCTCACTACCTGATAGTTAAACAGTGACCTGACAATGGAAAAATCCCCACAGTGTGATAAAGGTTACAAGCTTAAGTTATGAGTCGCTAAAGTTGTAATGACTCATTAAAATCCAAGATAACCAATACTGCTCATGAAGGAATTCTGATATTAAGAACATTGTAATTCTGTGATAAAGTCATACCATGGAATACCACTTAGCAATAAAAAGGAATGAACTATTGATACCCAAAACAATTTATACAAACCTCAAGTACATGATGCTGAGCAGTGAAAAGTCAAATAAAAAAGATACTACATGATTCCATTCATGTAACATTGTGAAATAACATAACACAGAGGTACAGAACAGCTTTATGGTTGCCAGGAGTTAGGAATGGGGAGAGAGAGATTACTGAAGCTATAATGAGGTGACACGAGGGAGTCTTATGGTTATTGTACATTTGAGTATCTTGATTGTGGTAGTGGTCATGCGAGGCCACATGTGATAAAATTATGTAGAGCTAAGTACATACACAAATGAGTGCATGTATTACTGGTGAAACTTGAAAAAACTCTATGGATTATACAAGTGTCAATTTCTTGGTTTTGATATTATACTCCAGTTGTGTAAGATGTATCATGAGCGTGGCTGGGAGACAGGTGCACAGGATTTCCCTGTGTACTTCTTTGCCACTTTCTGTGCATCTATAACTATTTCAAAATAAATGTTAAAAACAAACCAAACATTATAATCAATTCCATTCACATTAGCAAACATCTTCTAGCTGTAGTCATATCTACATAATAAACATGTTAACTGAACGTGAAAACTATGCCATTATATAGATTACATATTTACTTTAGTTGCCCTAAAGAAATTCATAAATACTTAACATTTGGCTAGATGGATAAGCCATTATCCAATTAAAAAAAACCAAAACCTAATGTTTTATTTATGTAATATAAATAAAACTTAATATTTCAAAACCTCAATTTGTTGACTTTAATATGTGTAATGATACTTTGAGTAGTGAAATGAAATATTTTGAATGATTAAGCACTTGAATAAGGCAATGTATTTTAAATTTTCAGTTATTACTATAAGATACTACATCACATCGTACTTATCTCCTGCAATAGAAAAATGAATCAATAAATTTCCATTGAATCTTATAATCTTTTAGAGTCATCCTATAGAATCTTATCTTTACTAAGCTCTGAAGTATTTACACACTGGATAAAGAAAATATCATTCAAGTCATAAAATAAACCATATTATCTATTATAGTTTATTAGAGAATAATATGTGTATATGCTCTCTGTTTGATTAATAGGAAAAATGATATTTTTTCTCTTAAAAACTAAAAATATATTTCTATTTTCTTTAGGGTCCTACTGGTCCTATTGGTCCTCCTGGCCCAGCTGGTCAGCCTGGAGATAAGGTAACACTTAATACTGTTTAGAAACAAAAAGAAAATGTCTTTGGCTTTTTGGATGATGCAACACTTTTCTTTTCTCTTTTTAAAGGGTGAAAATGGTGGACCTGGAATTCAGGGTGCACCTGGACCTCGTGGTGGCCCTGTAAGTTTTAAAGGCATTTTCAACTTGCTTTTTAACCCTACATAGGCAGCAGCTACGTATATTTAGCAATGTTACCCAGGTGCCCTGAGTCTCAGTGTTGGTATATTGTCTTTAGGAGTCATATGACATGCAAGAAAAGGTTACAGTTATTGATTCTAAAATTCACAGGAGACAATTTCAAGTCGTGTCTTCTTTCCTAAATAATTTTGGAAAAAATATAAAATTTCACAAGTAATACACACTGGTTAAAATGAATTTTTCCAAACCCTATAGAATTTTTGCCTGAGGCTCCTTCTGGTACTAAAATTCTCCATCTTCAGGGTTTGTGACTCAGGAGAGAGATATAGCAAATGTTTTTAACTAATGATTGATTTATTGATTGATTTCTCAACCCTTTTACCATATGTCAAAATCCTTACATTTTTAGAAGTTATACAATTAAAAGTGTTAAACACAGAATTCTCGAATTAGTTTTCTTGCGAAGAGCATCACAGTCAGGCAGAAGAAATCAATGGTTCTGGTGTTGTTCACTACTAGCTCTGTTTAGAAATTGAAATGTCTTCAGAGGGTAAACTATGTTAGTTACCTTTGCATGCTTCCTTCTTAAAGGAAAGATAAGATGATACAGAGGATGATGTGTGGTCACTGTGGGAAGATGTCTTCCCTGAGACTAATGAGGATATTTTGTACTTCAGGGTGAGAGAGGTGAACATGGGCCTCCAGGACCTGCTGGCTTCCCTGGTGCCCCAGTAAGTATGAACATGAACGCATACATGTCACACAGCCCAGAGTCACTCTCTTGCTGAAAAATGGCAGAAGTAAACTTTAAGTCTGGATCTAGTCCTGCCTCAACCACTCATTCCCTATAGGGTTGGTTTAACCCTCTCCTCCACTCTTCCCACCCTTTTTGTGCTTTATCTCCCTTCTTACTCTTTAAAAGATGGAGATAAAAACACTTGCCTTGCCTGTATGCCAGGTTAACGAGGCTAACATAATACCGTACATTTAAAAGCACTCTAAAATTGTTAAACTTCTTCCATTATAAGGTGATACCATTTAAAATCAGCTCTAAGCCCCATATTGCTCAAACAGTATTACTGGTGCTCACTGTCAAATGTACAATTCTCAAAGAGACTTTCTCCCTTATGACAAATACTACTGTGCATCTTAATGCTTTCTTGATAAAATTCTTTTACCAGAGAAATATTTTGATTGACTTTTTTTGGCATGTCTTTTAAGAGCCTCCTTTTCTAATTTTATTTCAACATTTCTCCACCTGAAGAACTTTATTTTCTAAAGAAAAGTAATGATATGCCAAGTGTATTATGAAAGACGCCAGCTCACAAGCTGTTGTTTCTGAATATAGGGACAGAATGGTGAGCCTGGTGCTAAAGGAGAAAGAGGCGCTCCTGGTGAGAAAGGTGAAGGAGGCCCTCCTGGGGTGGCAGGACCCGCTGGAGGATCTGGGCCCCCTGTAAGTATTGTGCCTTTTTCTCTGAACCTTCTGATGGGAAGCACTTAAGTTAGTGATAATTTAATATGTCATACTGAGAGAACTTGTCATGGTGACAAGTACAGTCTTCCTAGGAATAGGGTTTGAGTTTGAAGCTTGGCTCCAACAGTCTAGATATCATGTCAATCAAGTTATTTTAACTTCTTTATTTAATTTTATTTTTATATTAGTTTCAGGTGTACAAAACAACATAATCAGTAGACATTTACACCACTCACAAAGTGATAACTTCCCCCAATCTACTACTCCTCTGATATCATATATAGCTATTACAATTCCATTGACTATATTCCCTATGCTGTACTTTACATCCTGTGATATATATATATTATATATATATATATATAATATATATATAATTATAGTTGACGTTCAATATTCATAATTGACATACATTATATAAGTTTAAGGTGTACAGCTGGATGATTTGATATATGTGCATAATGCAAAATGATTATCACAATAAGTAGAATTAATGTTTCTCAAAGGCTTAATGCTTCTCCAAAAATTTGATTTTGATGCTATCCTTATAAACCATTTCACCTCCATTCCATGTAGGGTCCAGCTGGTCCCCAAGGTAGCAAAGGTGATCGTGGCAGTCCTGGTGGTCCTGTAAGTATTGATCCTCCTGACTATTATTAAAAAGCATTAATTAATATCAATCTGTATAAAAACTGCTCTGAAAACACTAGATCCCTAAAAGAGTATAAAACTTATAATCACTTACTCATATATGACTTATACGTAAATTCCAAGAGGAAAAAACCAACCATAAGTGACCCGGAGTAGAAGGCATTTCCCAGCACATTTTTTATACATTCTATTTGTTTTTAGTGGTTAATTATTTGTTCTACTTAACTTTTGAAATTCAAAAATACATTACCATTTCATAGGGTGCTGCTGGCTTCCCCGGTGGCCGTGGTCCTCCTGGTCCTCCTGGTAGTAATGTAAGTACGTTTTAAAGGATTTTTTTTTCACCACATATTCCATAAAGAGCATTCATACTTGCATAGGATGAGAAACTTAGCCACTGCTACATTTCTTTATATTAAATCCTATATAAAGTTATTTGAATACAGGTAAAAGAGGGAAGATATTTTTTTTAATTTAAATTTTTTTTTAAAGATTTTTTTATTGGGGAATTGGGGGAAGGGGAACAGACAAGTTGCTATCCTTTTGTTCTTCAGTCTAGTTGTGGAGGATGTTGCTTCACTGTCCCATGTTGGTATCATCATTGCGCTTTTCCCGGGTGAGGCAGATAGGTCGCCAGCCTCTGGACGGCCGCTCATGGCAGCTCTTGGCAGCTCACACTGGCTGCCAGCTGCTCACGCTGGCTGCCGGCCACACACAGTAGCTTATGGCAGCCCACTGCAGCAGGGGCTGCAGCCTACGCCATCACCAGCAACTCACAGCAGCCCAGCTCCAGGTCAAGCTGTTGTTCACCATCTTAGCTGTAGAGGGCAGTGTCACTGGCCCTGATGTGGGATCTGAACTGGGGCCCTGCTGCTCAGAGCCGGTGAGGAAAGAAACTTTTAACTTTTCCATTACAAAATATTCAAGCTTCAAATGTTTCTTTGTAGGGTAACCCAGGCCCCCCAGGCACCAGCGGTGCTCCGGGCAAGGATGGACCCCCAGGTCCGCCTGGTAACAATGGTTCTCCTGGCAGCCCTGGGGTGTCTGGACCAAAAGGTGATGCTGGCCAGCCAGGTGAGAGGGGATCACCTGGTTCCCAGGGCCCTGCGGTGAGTAGATTTGTTACTCTATTGATTGACAATACTATTTTATTTTTTATCACAAATTCAATAGAGGAAAACATAGTCACATAAAGAAGAACTGAGGCTTCATTATCTGTCACAACAGGGACCTCCAGGCCCACTTGGAATTGCAGGGATTACTGGAGCACGAGGTCTGGCCGGACCACCAGGTCCCCCAGGTGGTAGAGGAAGTCCTGGCCCTCAAGGCATTAAGGTGAGTGTATCTGTGTTTGTATCACGGGACTCCTGTTTCCTTTGATTGCCCGGGAGGATCACTTAACCATGTAAGCACAGAAGGAACAAGTTTCCTATAATAGAAGCAAATTCTGATAGTTCCACATTTTCAGGAAGCATGCATGTTATTTAAAGGCTCCAGAGCACACAAACAATGCATGTCATGGACCAGCCTTGAACATAAATGCAAATAAATTGATAACAGAATAATATCTTATTATCCCAAATGCTTCTGTTAGGAAACTTGTGACCATTTTTTGGTTTCACTGTGAGTCTTGAAAGGGGAAATAATGTCAGCTTAAAGACCTATGAAATTTGAAAGCCTTTAGTTGATAACAATTATTTATCAACTCAATTTGTTTCAAACTCCTGATTGTCTTTCACTAGTAATACCATAACACTCTCTAGTCTGTTAGCATCTTAACTATCCATTTAGCAAAAGGGGCAATAAAATTCTGTTTTATTAAGGCTCATAGTGTGACATTTCAAGCACCTCTTTAAACTAAATGTCTTATAATATTGTAGTGAAAATACAATATAACATTTAAATGTATTCAACTTATATGAACAAATGTTCAATGTAACTTAGTTGTAATAGTTACCATAAACCTATAGTTTCATGATGGCTCATCGTTAATTTTTTCTTACAATAGCCACGTCTATTTATACATCTCATATTATAATGTATTCTGAAGAAGATAATTGGTGTAATTATTCAGCCTGTTGGTATCCAGAGTCACTGGGCAAGTTGGAAAACACAAGAAGCTTACTTCCCCAAAGCTTTTCCCGTATGGCTGGGACAGTTTTAGGAACAAACTCAATAGAAATTGAATTAAACAAGAATTTTCCCTGAGAAATAAACACAACTGATAACATTATATTAATTAATTTCTTAAATTAAGTAAATGTCTTTTATTTTTTAAACAGGGTGAAAGTGGGAAACCAGGACCTAGTGGTCATAATGGAGAACGTGGTCCTCCTGGACCCCAAGGTCTTCCTGGTCTGTCTGGTACAGCTGGTGAACCCGGAAGAGATGTAAGTACTAGTTCTTAGGAAGTAGCCAATCAGCCAGGGAGTATTTGATCATTTATTTAAGCAAATGGGGCCTTAACGTCTAAGAGTGAAAATATTGACAAATGCCATAGTTCTCCTTACTTCTGTAATAACAGATATTCTTTCTATAACAACTTAGAAGTAAATGTTCATATTCATGTTGATTATTCACCCAATGAATGATCATTAATAAAAAAGAATACAATCTGTAGTGAAATAAAGAAACAATTTTGGGGTGGGGAGAGCCCCAATTTACCACATTCCTTCTGGGTAAATATGTGCTGCATATTATCTGTGATTAGTCTTTTCTTAAATTGTAGATTTCCATTATCAGCTTAAATTACTGTTTGTCAAGCTTTCATTTATTATCTCTCCCATAAGGATCCCTTTAGACATTTTTTTCTGAATCATTTTTCCCTTCTCACCCCGTAAAATTTTATTATTACAGATATACTGCATTTAAGCATTATCACCCTTTAAAGGACTACAGCCATTGCAATACCTAAGATTTTGCCCTCCCAAAAACCAGTTCTTATCCTCTTTTAGGTGATATTGCTCCCATTGAGAAATCTTGGCATAGATGGTATTTGACTGGTTCTAAAGAGGTTGATTTGTTTTCTCTCTCTCTCTCTTTTTTCTTTCATCAGGGAAACCCTGGATCAGATGGTCTGCCAGGCCGAGATGGAACTCCTGGTACCAAGGTATAACAAACACAGGTACAATGGGCTTGTGTAATTAAAACAGGAACTGCCAGTCATATTTACTTTGAATCTGTGAATTTACCCACAGGGTGATCGTGGTGAAAATGGCTCTCCTGGTGCCCCTGGTGCTCCTGGTCATCCAGGCCCACCTGGTCCTGTTGGTCCAGCCGGAAAGGGTGGTGACAGAGGAGAAACTGTGAGTTCTAATCAACACTATCTTTATTTATGTGTCAGTTTTCCTCAATAAAGAGTTTAGAGGTAGAAGATAGAATGTCTTATATTTGAACCAAAAGATCTACTATCATTTGTTTTAGTTCTTATGCTAGTCGTTCCATAAGCAGCTGTGGTAATAAAGATACATAAGAAGTTTCTGGCTGTTGTCAATGAAGAACCCAATACTAAAATTCAAAACAAAATTAATCAGACCAAGTATATATTCACTGGGTAAATGTAAGGCTAAATTAACTGGACTTTCTCAGCTTTTCTGTTTAGAACCCCTGGTAAAGATGTAAATAGGTAAAGGACTTTGAAGGAGAAAATGATACAAACTTTCAATAATAGGAGGCTTACCATTGTTCCCTTACAATGAAATTATTAACTTCTAAATCAAACAAAACTGTATCAATAAATGAACGATTCTCTGTGTCTTTGTTCATTTCTTTATTTTTGTTTTAGGGCCCTGCTGGCCCTTCTGGTGCCCCTGGTCCTGCTGGTGCCCGAGGTCCTGCGGTAAGTTGTTTGTTTTTTAACTCATCCTATAATGTAGGAACTATTCTATTTTCTAGCATGTTCAGGAAAAGAGGATAACAGAATACATAGCTATGGAACAGAATTTAAACTTTCCTTTGGTTATATAGAAATCAATCAGGATTCCAAAATTTCTTGGGGCCAAGGACCTACACATCAATTATTGGGGCTCCATGCAATTATCAGTCCAAAAACAATACAACTACAAGAAGAATCTTTATTATTTCATTGTGCAGTGTCTGTTAATAGAATTTCTACCTAATAGAATGCTGAAAAAATGGACTTAATTGGTGTAAATTTTTTTTTCCAATGTGTATGTGTATGGATGACCTTAATTTGAAATGTGTTTGTAAAGGGTCCTCAAGGCCCACGTGGTGACAAAGGTGAAACAGGCGAACGTGGTTCTAATGGCATCAAAGGGCATCGTGGATTCCCTGGTAATCCAGGTCCCCCAGGTTCTCCAGTAAGTGCTTCTGTTTCATAAGAAAATCCCCTTCAATGCATTTTAGCTGATGAGACAGGCAAATCTTAGAGATCATTAGATGGTCATCTCTAAAAGTATACACTAAAAGAGATGGGAAATGGATTTAAGGGATAATTTAATTTAAGGGCATCAGACAATGGGGAGATTAAAGAAAAAAGAATTTACTTTTTATCACGGTCCCCATGTTTCTTGATCTGATCTGGAATGTATAGTTTCCTAACCATTTTAAAGTCTTCACTCATGTTCACCCTTCCTTTCAGGGTGCTGCTGGTCACCAAGGTGCAGTCGGTAGTCCAGGACCTGCAGGACCCAGAGTAAGGACAACAAAGATATTGGAAGGTCTATATTTTTTTAACTTTGCATTGAAAGAAGGTACTCTAACAGTGTAATATCATGATAATATTTTAGGGACCTGTTGGACCTAGCGGGTCCCCCGGCAAAGATGGAACAAGTGGACATCCAGGTCCCATTGGACCACCAGGGCCTCGAGGTAACAGAGGTGAAAGAGGATCTGAGGTAAGACATCATTCATAAATATGTATATTTAATTTGTTATAATCTTCATATTTTCATAAATACTTTACAATATTCTAAAGCTCAGATAATATAATCACCCAGCATGATTTAGAAAACAAACAATAACCCTAAAACATTCTCTACCATATTAAGACTTTCTTCATTACACTGTAACAATGCGGGAAAAAAACTTTTTAATGGTTTGATCAGATGACAGTTATATCAAAATAAAGACATAAGCCCATTTAGCCAAATGGACTCTACCAGTGTTGATCTCACACTAACCTCCCACAACTATGATAATCATAATGATTTGCAAGTATGTTGTACATTCTATTTCTCAAACAGCTTCCATGATTTCTCTTTTGCTACTGATACCTTTATTCCTAATACTTTCTTATGCTACACCTTTAGGGTCCATGGAATAAAAACTATTACCCCCACAAGTTACAAATGTGGCAATTGAAACACAAATAAGTTAAGTGATCAGCCCAAAGACACAAAATTAATGACAAATCTGGGATCAGAACACAGGTTTCCTGATCATATCCCCTCTGTCATGTTAACATTAGAATTGTTTACAATGGTTATATAGAAGGAAACATGATACAGTAAAATTTGTGCTCTAACACCACTGATTCTTACACAGTGGAACAATAAATTTCATGATAATGAAATGAATGATTCATGATAATGAATCAAATGAATATTTGATCACAAAGCAACACAAATAAACCTTTATTAAAATAATTATGATGCCACAAGGATTGATTGTCTTTAACATATTTTCCTGGGCTAGCAACATATTCTTTCTGTAAAGACCAAACAAGTACAGCTCAGTAATGTATATTCTTACACTCTGCAGGGCTCCCCAGGACACCCAGGACAGCCTGGTCCTCCTGGCCCGCCTGGTGCCCCAGGTCCATGCTGTGATGGTGGGTTCGTCAGTGCTGCTACAGGGGAGAAAGCTGGTGGTTTTGCCCCATATTATGGAGATCAACCAATGGATTTCAAAATCAACACTGAAGAGATTATGACTTCACTCAAATCAGTCAATGGACAAATAGAAAGCCTCATTAGTCCTGATGGTTCTCGTAAAAACCCTGCTCGGAACTGCCGAGACCTGAAATTCTGCCATCCTGAACTGAAGAGTGGTATGTTGGGGGATCTTTCACACTCATAACAACAAGATTACAGAGAAAGCTGCTTATATTAGAATTTAGGGAAGAGGGAAATTTTATTATGAATAAAAAATATTTCATAGCAGAATTAGTACTTAAAGAATGTTAGTTAAATTGAAACTATGTGACATTCTAAGAAAGAAAATATGAATTTTGCAGGTGTACTTAAAATGTAACATGAATAACTTCAAAATATTTCAAATGTAGGGCAACTTAAAGGCAGTTTTGTAGAAATTTTAATATAAATCATAGTTTGGTATGTTTAGCATCACAAAGTTGAGTGATAAAGCAATGTATATCACTGTGATCTCAGGATCAAATATATGTAATTTGATGCAGAAATAATTTCCAATTTAATTATTGCAATATTTATTGAAATTTAATTTTTGTAACAAATCAAATTATTAAAATTTTTAAATTAAAAATAATTAAATGGAAAATATCAGAACAGTGTATAGAATTAAATTGAATAATGTGATAGTGTAAGTTTTACATATATTGGGTTAACTCTTTCTGAAAGGTAAACTTATTTCAAGCTCCTAAATATCTTAACATGAAACATTGCCTTTGAGTCATTTCTGGAAATACTTAAAATAGAGGAAAATCATCAATCATGGGGACTTTAGATTTAGACTTATTAGTATAAATCTAGTTTAGACAAAGAGCTCACATTATTAAGCAAAACCACAGTAAATAGGTAGTCATCTTTAAAAAGAGAGAGGTTTCAGTGAATACAATACACTAATCAAAAGATCTTGGCTTAATATATCTTCCTTGTTCAATATTAAGATGCTATTTTTTGCTTCACTGTTTTCTGTTATCGCTAAATCTTTTACCTCAGTAATTTCAATCTAAAAGTTTCTGTGCTATGCTATACAATAAAATATAAATACATAAGGGCCGGCCAAGTGGCGCGATGGCTAAGAACTGGCTTGGGACGCCAGAGGGCCCTGGTTCGGATCCCACATATGAGAGCCAGTGACACTGCCCTCCACAGTTAAGATGCTGAACAACAGCTCAACCTGGAGCTGGGCTGCCATGAGTCGCCGGCGACAGCATAGGCTGCAGCCCCTTTGGCAGTGGGTTGCCATGGGCTACCGTGTGTAGCCAGCAGCCAGTGTGAGTGGCCAGCAGGTGCTGTGAGTGGCGACCACAAGCCGGCAACTGATCTGCCTCGCCAGGGAAGAGCGCAATGATGGTGCCAACTTGTGCCAGTGAAGTATCGTCCTCCACAACTAGACTGAAGAACAAAAGGATAGCAACTTGTCTGTTCCCCTTCCCCCAACTCCCCAGCACTGTTCCCATCCCCCAATTCCCCAATAAAAATCTAAAAAAAAAAAATATATATATATATATATGTATAAAATACAAATAAATGAGCAGTCAATATTATGAATGTTTTATTAGGCAAACAAACAAAATTATTGTGGTCCAAATCCCTTACTGGATTTTATAACCAATTTTCATTGTCCTTTTTTGTAATTATTCAGGAGAATATTGGGTTGATCCTAACCAAGGTTGCAAGATGGATGCTATTAAAGTATTCTGTAATATGGAAACTGGGGAAACCTGCATAAATGCTAGTCCTTTGACTGTTCCACGAAAGAACTGGTGGACAGATTCTGGTGCTGAAAAGAAACATGTTTGGTTTGGAGAAACCATGGACGGTGGTTTCCAGGTAAGAAGGAATATACCTTTTTTTTTTTTTTAACTAAGCCTTCCCTACCTACCTGACTTCCTTGGCTCCTCCCATATGTTCATCACAAAGTTAGTTAATAAAGAAGAATCCAAATGACTTTATTCATTCAGATGTCAACTTTCATAATTTTTAAAACTTGTTTCTCAAGAGCTAAGCTAGATTGAATTATTTTTTGTATGCAACCACCTTTCTTTCAATTCTTAAGACCTTTTTCACTCTAGCATTATATGTTATACATGCAATAAAAACATATTTATATAATGACAAATGTAGTAGACTTACAGTAGTGATTGCATTGTAAGGTATATAAATGTAGAATATATTGTAAACCTGAAACTAGTATAATATTGTATGTCAACTATACTTTAATAAAAATATTCATATATAAAATATTTATACATAAAATATATGAACTACCTACACCACAATGCATTATACTGCATGAATCCCTTACATACAGTTGCAACTAAAATGTTTGATCAGTTTTATTTGTTCCCTATTACAGTTTAGCTATGGCAATCCTGAACTTCCTGAAGATGTCCTCGATGTCCAGCTGGCATTCCTCAGACTTCTGTCCAGCCGGGCCTCCCAGAACATCACATATCACTGCAAGAATAGCATTGCGTACATGGATCACGCCGGTGGGAATGTAAAGAAAGCCCTGAGGCTGATGGGGTCAAATGAAGGCGAATTCAAGGCTGAAGGAAATAGCAAATTCACATACACAGTTCTGGAGGATGGTTGCACTGTAAGTAACATTCTTATAAGTATGGATCATAATGAGCTCCACATTCTAGTTTAATTACACTGTTTTAAAAATAAGAAATAAAACATAAGGAGGGTGGACAAAAGAAGGCATTTGGTGTGAGTTAAATGAGATCTACTGTTTCATTGCAGGGCATGTTAAATACCACACACACACAAAAAAAGAATATATTTTCTCAATCTCCAGGTAAAAAGCAGTTGAAAGGAAAGCAATTGAAATTTAAATTCATAATATGAACTTTATCAGACAATCTGGATGGTTACTATATAGTCTGCATAATAGTCATCCTATAGACACAAGCTAAAATCTCTGCTTTCTTTTTATATTTTTGAAGGTTAACTTTAAATCAGTTCTTTGTTATTATTTATGAACAGAGGGAGAATTCACTTCTAATATTAGCAAATTACAAAGTGAATTATTTTCTTCCACTTCTTAGTAGTAAGCTATATACCTGATAGCAATGACTAGAACCAAGACTTCTGAGAATGGACTGGCCTATGGCAATCTCCCTTGCTGGGCTTACCTTGAAGCCCTATAAGGCTTTTTGTTCACAATATGGGTGATCAACTGAGAAGTTTACAGTGTTGAAGTGGAGCAGGTCTCATATGTATGGAAGATAACATGGCAAACTGGCAACTCTCTTCAAGCAAATTTTTTTTTTTAAACTTGTTCAGTCACAGCAAGTGTCTAAGTACAGCCATATACCACATAATGACATTTGGGGCAATGAGAGACGGCATATATGACAATGGTCCTATAAGATTATAATGGAGTAAAAAAAATTCCTATCACCTAGTGACGTTGTAGGTTGCTGTTCATAAGGACATGTTTGTGGTGATGCTGGTGTAAACAAACCTGCCAGTCAAATAAAAGTTTAGCACATACAATTATATACACTCAGTATATAATACTTCATAATGACAATAAACAACTATGTTTCTGGCTTATGTATTTACTATATCAGACTTTTTATCATTGTTTTGGAGTGTACTCTTTCTTCTTGTAAAAGAAAAGTTTGCTGTACAGCAGTATGCCATATTACATCAGCAGTAGCCTTATGCATCTCATGTTTACTGCATCTCTTGATTGCATCATTTTCTCTTGTGCCTTCTTTAATCTTATGTCATTTTGTATAGTATGATGCTGTACAGGTTTGTAATCTAGGCTATCCCATAAAGCACAGATGTGTAGTAGGCTATACCACCTAGGTTTGTGAAAGTGCACGCTATGATGTTTGCTTGACAAAATTTCTCAGAAGATATCTCTTTTGTCAAGCAGTACATGAATATAACTCTAATGTCATGATCACTTATATATTTTTACTCTTTTTTACAGAAACACACTGGGGAATGGGGCAAAACAGTCTTCGAATATCGAACACGCAAGGCTATGAGACTACCTATTATAGATATCGCACCTTATGATGTTGGTGGTCCTGATCAAGAATTTGGTGTGGACATTGGCCCTGTTTGCTTTTTATAAATCAAACTCTATCTGAAACTCCGGCAAAAAAATTTCACACTCCATATGTGTTCCTCTTGTTTTAATCTTGTCAACCAGTACAAGTGACCAACTAAATTCCAGTTATTTATTTCCAAAATTTTTGGAAAAAGGATAATTTGACAAAAGAAATGATACTTTTTTTTCTGTTACACCAAATACAGTTCAAATACTTTTTGTTCTATTTTTTTACCAATTTCAATTTCAAAATGTCTCAATGGTGCTATAATAAATAAACTTCAACACTCTTACAATAACACTGTGTTACATTCTTTGAATCCTAGCCCATTTGCAGAGCAATGACTATGCTTACCATTAAAAGATAATCTTTCTTTCCAAAATAGTCAAACATGAAATTTGAAAAGACCTCCCTGTTTCAACTACCTCAACTGGTCACAAACACAGATGAATTCTCTAAGTCCCAGAAGATGGAAAAATTGTATAAATGAGCAAAACTCATGAATTTCATTAATTAATTTCCCACAGTATTTGTAAAAAAAAGTATAGTGTAGTGCAAGAATATAAAGAAGTAATCCACAATTATTTTAATCTTGGATATCAACTGCTTTTAAAGGTGCTTTTCTCTTGTCATTGCTAAAATTATCAAGATACCAATACTTGGGAAGGTTTTAAAGACTCATGTTATGGTGCTAATGTACTTTCACTTTTAAAACTCTAGGTCAGAACTGTTGCCTTTCATTCAAAACACAAATATACAGCATCTGTACATGTCTCTTGTCAAAAAAATTTATTGGCATGTCACTTCAGAGGACTCCGTTCCTCCATCATGTAAAAGTCAACAACAACAAAGAACAAATTATGGGGCTGATTTGTCACAATAACACAGAGAATGTGTTGAAATTTAACTTTGTAAGCTTGTATGTGGTTGTTGATCTTTTTTCCTTACAGACACCCATAATAAAATATCATAATGAAACACCTTGTTTTTGTCACTTTTCATAATTATAACAAATGCATGTTTATACTCAGGAACTCTCGGGATTTTCTTGAAAACAAATATTGAATTCTAACTCTCTAGCTTAATAATGCAATGACCTTCAGAAATATGAGATAATCTTACCTATATTCAGAACAGAGATAATGCCCAGTGGAGAATCTTGCAGGTTTTGAGTGGAACTCCTGAGGCATATCGAAAAGTGAAGGCATTCTATTTGAGTCAATCCCAGGAAATAGTAACATAGTAAATCAGGTTGCCTCCAAAGTAGAAGTAATCAGGGAGGAAGATGTTAGTAATTTATCAGGATGTAAGCAGGGTTGGCAAACAAACATTAATATTAAGAAGAACCACAAATTAAATGTCTAACTATTACATTGTTTTGTACACCTGAAACTAAACAAACAAAAAAGACAACAAAACAACAACAAAAAAATAAACAAAAATATGTTGTATAAAGAGCAACAGTGATTTTATTCTATCCATTCCACAGCTTTGAGTCAGTATCAGGGGCAGAATTCAAGTATCCAAAAGCTCCTGACTTTATTTTTGCATATAGTAAGTGTTCAATAAGTGGAGGCTATTTTTTGTATTAAAGTTGTCAAATAAATAAAAATAAATAAATAACCGCAAATTTAGGCTTTTTCTACCACCTCAACACACTGCCTCATTGCCATTTTGGGTCAGCCCCCTTTCCACCACCAAGTTATTATTTTTTAATTGCTGTAAAGAAAAATAGTAGGGTCTTGCACATTTGACTTTGTAGTTTGAAATTTGCTCACTGTATGTCGTTTATAAAAATAACAATACCTTCAAAAATAAAGATGTCATCAGTCAAATGTCAAAACTTTTAGTCCACTTATACTCTATGTTAGAGGCAACCAATGTTAGTTTCTCCTGCACCTTTAGAAATATTTTATATACTACGAGTATATATTATATAAATATATTATACATTATATAAATATTTGAGAGAGACTTATAAAGAGATGGAGACAGAGAGACAGAAATAAAGCCAATTTGCATTATGCGTTAAAAAATTACTTGGAATTCTAAATTTAGACATTTTTAAAGCCAGATATATTTAGATACATTTGGTCAAGTCTTTTTCACATTGTATCACACTGACAATGGCTCTCCTGCTTCTCTCTTTCACTTACAATTACAATTACTTGGGCTCAATAGGATAATTTAGGATAATCTCCCTATCTCTAGGTTAGGTAATTAGCAATTTAGTTCAATTGCCACTTTAATGCTTCCTTATCTTGCCATGTAATAATATATTCATAGGTTCCTGGGGTTAGGACGTGGACATATTTGGGGGCTATCATTCTGCCTACCTCAATAGTGACACAATGCAATAAGGAGAAGAGAAAATCCATGTTGGTGGTGGTTAAGCTGCCAAAAATGACACCCAATGTCCAGTTTTATATGGTTTCACCAGGCTGCCTCTAGGGTATGATGTTGAGAATGGTTCTGAACATCAGCATTCCCTTCATTTCTGTTCATTTTATAAGCCTGGGTTTTGGGGGGTTTTTTCTTAAAGGTTTTATTGGGGAATTGGGGGAGGGGAACATGGGGAATTTGGAAAGGGGAACAGGTCAGTTGCTGTCCTTTTGTTCTTCAGTCTAGTTGTGGAGGACGTCGCTTAACTGGCCCATGTTGGTATTATCATTGTGCTCTTCTTGGGTGAGGCAGTCACTCACCGGCCATTGGACGGCTGCTTATGATGACTCACAGCAGCTCACACGAAAGCTCATGTTCACTGCCGGCCAGCCCCACTGCAACCAACATGAGTCCGTTGCCGGCGACTCATGGCAGCCCAGCTCCAGGTCAAGCTGTTGTTCACCATCTTAGCTGTAGAGGACGCAGCATCACTGGCCCTCATGTGGGACCCAAACCGGGCCCTGCTGCTCAGAGCTGTCGTCCCAAGCCAACTCCTAACCAATGCACCACTCGGCCGGCCCTAAACCTGGGTTCTTTAGCTTACTCTGAATTTTCCTGAACTTTAGATAAAATCTACAAATTATGTTTCTATTTAAATCAGCCAAAGTCGCTTTAGGTTGTTTTCCACTAAGAATCCTGACTAGGCCAGCAATTGGTAACAGCCGTGATGGCAGTGAGCAGAAATTCAGTAAAATTGAAAGATCCTGGGATCAAATATTTGTACTGGTTAGGGGTAAAGGTAGGAAAATCCAATTAATACCCAGGGATGAGAGTTAGTCAGTCCACGGATACAGGATTCATCATTTGTGTTACCTGGAATGGTTTGCACTTTGAAGGCAAGGCTTAAAAAGATGAGTGGCGTCTGCTACATAACTGGATATTTAAATTTCATGAGAAATTGTTGGATTGCATGTGGGTGTGGTTGTTTTTCCTGGTAATGCACAGGAAGGGAATGTCAAGTTCAAATCCCTAACTTCTTGGTTCAGGGTGCAGAAGAAACACGATGGCCTTTCTCTGGCTGAGCTAAAATAAAAATCTATTTAAAATTTTTCAAACTTATCTCTACATACAGGCTTAAGATAACTGGAAAGCAAATATAAATTTAATTCTGCAGATCATCAAACTAAAATAAATCTATGTGAGTTTTTAAATTCTCTGCTTGACTGCTGTGTAATTGAGAAATAACAGGACCCCCAAAATTTGAATGGGTTTATGGAAAATTTTTCCTGTTTCATATTAAATTTCTCTAACCATCTAAAATAGAGCCCATTATTTCCTCCTCCGTGGTAATATTTCCGGCTTTCTTGAAATGAAAGATGCCTTTACAAGAAAAGACTGTTGTCTTCAGACCTCACTCCCACCACTGTTCGTTGTCTCCAGATTTATAACTACAGTCAAATTCCAGAATGCTTCATGGAGTAACAATTTACAGGTCAACCTGAGGAGGCGGTTTACACATAAAAAGAATGGAAAGATTTAATTAATTTATATTCTCTAAAATCTGGGCAATATGCATGGGATTGAGCTCTGAGGTATTAGACAAATGAGAATTGTGCAATTCAGACTAAATTTGTTAACATGTGCATGTAACAGAGAACTTTAGGAAGACTATAACTATCATGATTGCTTGATGGAACCAGGCCTCAGAGGCAGCCCAAACTAAATAAATGTGAGACATCACAAACTCACTGGCAGATTGACAATGTACCGTATTTTCCCATGTATAAGACTCACCCTTTTTCGAAAAATTTGGGGTCTAAAAACTGGATGCATCTTATACAGTGGTTGTAGATTTTTTTACATGCATTTCCTGCTTTTTCCGTGTTTGTTGTCTTTGCGCTCATTGTTTCGTACTTGTTACCGGTATATTACAGTAGGTTACGTTTTGCCATGTTCTGCCCAGTAATGGCTCAGAAAAGATTTTTGTACAGTGCTGAATTCAAGTTAAAAGTGATCCAATTTGCAAAAATGAATGGAAATCGTGCTGCTGAACATAAGTTTGGTCCTCCCCCAACTGAGAAAACAATCCAAGACTGGCTACGGGAAGAAACCCTACTGAAAACGCCATGGCAGAAGGCCATGGGAGGCAATATATGAAGACAGCGATTTGTCATCAGACACAGATGAGGACAAGCTAATGGTTGGGAGTTTTGACAGTGATGGGGAGTTGTATTAATTTTATAATGAATAAAACTTGAGTTCAATAACTTTATGTAATATATTTTTTTCAAATTTCGGGCCCCAAAATTAAAGTGCGTCTTATACATGGGAGCGTCTTATACATGGGGAAATATGGTAATTCAAAATCTTAAAAGTTAGAAATGTTGTCATGGTTTATCATATGTGAACACCACTCACTTTCTAGCTATATTCTCAGGGTGGACCACTGAAGTCTTGAGAAATGCATGGTAAGTATGTGCCAGGACCTTAGAAAACTCCCTTTAAAAGTGTCTTTAGTCTGGAGATGGAAGTAAACCCAGCTGAAATAAGCTTCTTTGTTTAAACGGAGATGACAGGATTCCAGCAAGAGGAGGCCAAAGGTCACCTCTCGACTACCAGAAACAAAGCGAGAATAAGTGTAAAAGACATCAGGCTAACATGGTAAAAACAAACAAAAAAAAAACCTCACAAACAACAGTAACCAAAAACACCTAACTTGGAGATACCTTTGGTGGTGGCTAATTGATAATGGCCCATCCTAATAAAATGAGCCCTGTTAGATGGGCTGCCTATGA